CATTAATTTTACTTCTAAAAAATTTGTTCCTAATCAGCTATAAGTACAGGATATTTGTTACAACTTGATTTATGAAGGGGAAAGTAAAAATCTCAATATCCAATTATAATGCAGTGTTTAAATTAATTGTATTCATTTATATAATGAAATATTATGCAGTGATTCAAATTATATTTTTAAATCAGTATTTTATGGCATGGGGAATGATTATATTATAATACTGTGTGATTATAGCAGGAAATAAACCACTAGAGATTCAAGTTTTATGAAACTGGTATTTAAATATATAAATATGTATAAATAATGGAGACAATTCATTTTCTTGATTTCTTGTATATGTAATGATTGTTAAAATACATTTTTAAGTATATTCAAAGAATGAAAAAAGAGAGGATAAAGCCACCTTCTTTGGGCTCTCTCCAGTCAAACATTTTCTCAGAGGATCTTGATTCAATTCATGGGCTTCTAATTAAAGTATTTAGACTCACTCTTCTAAGCTTTTTCTAAATTACTGCTGCCATAATAGATGAAAATGATTGGAGGAAGGGAACTTAGAAGAATATTTATGAAATGTTCTCTATGCTAATATCTAGTTAGGTCTTTTTCATAAGTATACTAAAACTTGTATTTCAAATAAGATGACTTGCTTTTGGCAAATAGTAATAGATTAAATAATTTATTAATGAATCTTTATGTTTTACCAACACACTAAGACATTTAATGCATTATTGGAGATAAAATTAAAGTGTTTAGATATTAAAACAAATTTGCCAACAAATCTAGACAGTTCTGTGGTGATGGTGCTGGTGACAGTCATTTCCTAATAAATAAATTATAATTTGATTAATTGGACTTAATGATTTTCAGAATTCTGCATTTATATTTTTGTGTTCTATGCAAAGAGCAGAAAATGCTAGAGGTTTTATTTTATTCCTGATTGAACTTCATTGAGGAGCATGGCTTATGAGTTGGAAGTCAAAAGTTTTAGGTTTTGCTAGTAATTTATTGAGAGGCCTTGAGAAAATCACATAAACTTGATGCTCTACAGTTGCCTTATCTGTAAAATAGAACACTGGACTAGGAACAGATTTTTCAAGCTATTCCTGACTGGAAGCTCGAGGGAGGCAGGCACTAGGAGAATTTTTGCTCATGGATCTAGATGGCCTGCACAGTAGCCAGCATGTAACCAATACACACCTAACATTCCATCGCTATGAGTTTAATAAATGACTGAATGTGCCCCTTCCTGGGAGTCTGACTTCCCATCAGAGTATCACCCAGCATCATTCTGCTTGTATCAGCTTTACATTGAGCATAAAGTACTATTTCATTAAAAAAAACAAATAAGGACTTTACTGCTGAAAATAAAAATTTGAAATTATTAGGGTAAAGTCCTTTGAACTCTGTGATAGCTTCATGTTACTATTGTGTGCTGTTACTATTTTTTTAAAAATACAAATCACAACACCTCTTACTCTCATTTTCCCTTTCTATACACTACCAAATTCTACGAGAGAGCTGTGTGTTAACTGAGTTTATGGCAGAGAGAGGATGGTCTGTGCTTCGTGGGTGAATCAGAGTTGACTGGGCAGAGAAGGGGATGATGGGGTTTGCCAGTCAGAAGGAACAGCATGTAGAAAGGCAGAGTTGCGAGAGTATGGCAGGTTCAGAGAGGTGAGAAATATTGTGTGACTGAATGCAGGGTTGGAGCAAGACAGTAAGAGATGTGTCTGAAGGAGACTCCCATCATAAAGAGTCTTGTACGTTTGGTTAGGACTTTGGCTTTACTTGGGGAAGCAAGCCATTGGATATTTTAAGAAAGCGAGATAACACGATCGGATTTGTGTTGTACTGAGAGTTCTCTAGTTGCAGTGTTGAAGTTAGATCTTTGGAGCCTGAGGGATATCTGTTCAGAACCTCATGATCTTGGGTTTAATGGAACTGGTATTATAAATAACTTCAAAAGAGTTTTCTTTTCCAGACCATAGCATTATTTTTTTCAGGGTTTGTTTACAGGATTCTAAAAATGATTCCTTATATGCAACCATGGCTCCTCCAAAGAGAAAATGTACTGTCTAAATGAAGAATCTAATTTTATACATATCCTGGTATGAAAAAGGGATAAATGATCAACCTGAAGACTAATAGAAGTTACTTTAACTTGAAGATTTTCTAATGGAATGTAATTTCATTTGTTTACAACTATGAGATATCCATTAGGGAACTGACAAGAGACTGGAAATGACATTCAAGGCAGAGCACATTGAAATTGGGATTAATGGACCAGGTCTTAGTGTCATCTTGAATTATGTTTATTTTATCACTTAAAACTAAATTTTTACTACCCAAGACATTTATTAGTGCCTTCATTTACAGAAAAAAATAATACTATCCTCATATTTGAATGACAGACACATTATGTAAGGCAAATGCTCTATCTAGGGATAGGGACAGAGCTGGGTGTGGCCTTTGTCTATCTTAACATTAAGTTTTAACTTCTCAGTTTATGACATCCAGATTTTAGTGTATATTATCAGTCAATAATAAAGCTGTCATAAGTAAAGTAAAACAAACAAAGGAAAGATGCACTTAAAATAATAAAAATCCTCTTTTGATATGCTACTAAACACAGGCTGTTGCTAACACTGGAAGATTTCATTTGCAACATGAATCCTAAAAGAAATAATTAAGAAGACATAAAATGGCTATTACCAAAATGAATCTAAAACAATGAAAACCCTGTAAGGTAAATGGGATAGAAATAGAATGATTCACTTTTCCATTAAGCTATTCAGTGTAATGTTAATGCGTATACATTTTAAAATTATTTTTACTTTTTTGCTTTCCTAGCACTGATTTTATTTTTCAACTTGAGATATCTTTAGGTTCACTCTGAAATATTTTCTATTATAATTGTGCCTGGAATCTTATCAAACATCCAAATGAGGAATTTAGACAGGGGTAGAAAATGAAAAAGAACAAATTGCTTTTGTAGAGAGCTAAAGTGACAATAAATTTTGTAGGAATACTCATTTGCAATGAGGATAATAAAAAAATAACCAAACAGCATTTCTTTGCCCCTTGCCATTTACAAGGCTAAATTTTCATTTAATTACTGTAATGAACCTATGAAATAAGCACTATCAACCCATTTCACAGATGTGGTTTAGAGAGATTAAATAACATAAGTTATATAGGTAGTGATAGATTTTGTATACCTTAGGTTACAGAGTAAGTGATAGATTTGCACCCAGACCTACGTCCTCTTGAACCCGATCTTTTATGCTACCGCAAAGTCCTAAGTGATGACTTCTAGGAAACACATGCCCCCTGTCATCTGGCCATGCCCTGTCACTTTTCTCATTGTATTATAATTGTCTCTTTACATGCCTGCCTCCCCATACTGCATAGTCAGTCAGTCCTCCAATGCAAATACAGTGTCTTATGTATCTTCCTAGTTCCATGGGGCTAAATGCAGTGGTGTGCCCCACAGTAAAAACTCAGAGAGTGCCTATTGAATGACTAATGTTACCTGAGGTCACTAAAATTTAATACATAAAGAAGACATTACATTATTATGGAAAACAACTGATGTAGAAAGTGTCAGTTGTTCCTGAAGCTCTTGTTAGATATTCCTTTCCTCTTCCAAGATGAAATTTTTTGGAAAGCTAGGTGAGCTGATTGCTATTGCCTATAGGAATTCAAAGGAGCATGAACCGCCCCCCCCCAACAGAGATACTAAGTATGTGAGATGACATATACAGTTAAAGGAAAAGATACGGAAAGCATAATTCGATTAATGGTCTTTACATTTATGATGGGCTTGTCTTCTACACAGGAAAGTAACCAAGTTTTCACTGATACTGAGCTCCAAATAAAAGGAATAATCAGAGTATTATTTTAAGCTTTCAGTAATTTTTTAAAGGTTAAAATGAAATTAGTGTAGGATAGAAAACTATTTTATATTAAAACATTATTCAGTATAACTTAGACTTCAGCTTGAGGGATTGAAAGCCTAGCAAAGGAAATCATTTCTGATTACAAAAAGTAGTTTACCAAGGGGATTGGGAGAAGGTTCTAAGTGAGTTTGCACATGCATCTTTAGAGTGGGTGATACTGACTTCTGTAACCACATCTTACTTGATGATGATCTGACTAACTATGATGATAATGTCCATTTTAATCTGGGTCTTTAATTGCCCTCTCTGAAAGCTATCAGCAATAAAAGCTCTCTAACCCTGGCTCTTCCAAAGGATGCCTAAAGCTTTTATTCTGTTGTTGCCCTAAGCAGGCTTCAGGAGTCAAAAGCCAGAATGCAAGGGCTGCCAGCAAAATGATGCACCCACTTTGCCAGCGTTGACATTTGCAGTTGTCTAAGCCCTCCAGTAGGCTAGTGAATACACTTTTAACTTCCTGGACATATATTAATTTGTAAAATAAAAAAAAAATTCAAGAGTAGGGAAAAAACACATTAAAAGTGATGTTACATCAGCCAGTGACAGCATATGAAGTCGCAAGGGTCGTTTTGCTGATTTTGTTTTTTTATAACTGGTTTCTGTAAATCCACTTCCAATGTCTAATAAAGTACATTATCCTGAATTTTCATTTAGTTATTAAAAATTCTAAAACAGAGACTACACAAAAATTAATGTTAATGCCCTATTTTAGGTGGCATTTGGGTGCAGTTATATTTCGTGTTTTTCTGAGACTCTTCCTGGCCACCTTGAGACTGTGTTCTTTCTATGGAGAGGAGACCTACACTCCTCTCAAAGCTTCACTACGTGCTACTGTATCCTAATAGTCCATGTGCTCATCAGTCCATCTCATTGTATTTTTTGGTCCTTGAGAGCAGAGCTGTGTCCTTTAACTTATCCTTTGAGATAAGTGTATTGGTACAGTGTGTTGCAGACTTTTCATAGTCAATAAATATTTGTTGCATGACTTTTTCTGAAATAGCTGCTTTCTCCTTTCTACTCACTTATTTCTTTCACTTTCTTCAGGTTCTCTCCATCTGCCCCAAGGACATGAGAGCTGATATCTGTGTTCATCTAAACCGGAAGGTTTTTAATGAACATCCTGCTTTTCGATTGGCCAGCGATGGGTGTCTGCGCGCCTTGGCGGTAGAGTTCCAAACTATTCACTGTGCTCCCGGGGACCTCATTTACCATGCTGGAGAAAGCGTGGATGCCCTCTGCTTTGTGGTGTCAGGATCCTTGGAAGTCATCCAGGATGATGAGGTGGTGGCTATTTTAGGTACTGTGAACTTTCCTAATGTAGTAGCAAATGTGTAACAGTTTTAGAGATTTTCGCTTCTCGGGTTTCTTAAGAGAAATTCCCTTTGCTTGCTGACTTCAGAAATTGGGTCACTAATGAGATGATGAATCTTAATGAAAACTAGTAATGCTATTTTAGCAAGGAGGATTAGTATCCGTCACAGCTCACGGGGCTGCATGAGGGTTTGATTAAACTTTCTTTGGCAACAATAGGATAGTACCTTTTACACTAGAGCTGATCATAGCCTAATGTGACTGTAACTCCACGTTGACAAGTTGAAAATGGCTTGGGGAATGACTGTCAGGTTAGTAATCTAGGATGTTAGTTTTAGAGGGGCAACAGAACCCAATTCAACACTTTCCTCTAAAGATGAGCAAAGGGAGGCCCCAAAAAGTTTAGTCTCTTGCCTAGCTAGTTAGTAAATGAGTTAGAGCTTGAATTCAGATCATTTACTCTAAATCCTTTTACCGTATCACAGTGGACCTAAGTGGTAGGCTGAAAGTGATGAGGAAATAAATTAATTTTACCCATTATATTGGAGTAATCACGATGTAAATAAATTTAGGCTTTTAAAGCTGGTTCTGTCCATTCACAAACCAGGAAAATTATCTGGCTAATAAATTTATTCTAAAATTCAGAGACCTGGTAGTTAGTTGTACTTGCAAAAAAGGCAGTGACAATACATATAAATGACAATTTAAAAAAAAATTCACATGTGTGGGGACAGTGTAATATATATATATATAAATAAATAAAATACTAAATGATATTATAGATTATTTTTGCTCAAATATCAGCAGCAGGTTCATGAAGCCCGCATAGATATAAAAGGAAGCAATAATGAGGTCAGAGGAGAATCAACCGTGTTTTTTCCTCAAGTAAAATAAGTTAGAATTGCAGGTTGTCAACTCCATTTTGATCACATTTTCTTGGCTTGTGTCTCATGAAAAATGAGCTCAATTTTAAACTATTGGATTTTTTAGCTTCCGAGGTCAACGTAGCATAGCTTGAATGCCAGTTACTCTTGTAAGTACAAGATTGACTGATGTATTTTAGCAACTGAAAAAGCAAAAGCCAGCACAAAAAACGGAGAACTGATTTCAAAAAGCACTACTGCCTGGCAAAGACAGAAATGAGAATTGAGAAACAGACCCCTCATAGGAAAACAGATTCTATAAAATTTGTAAGATCTAGAGAAAATGTTTCAGGGTGGCAAATGACTGAACACTATTGTTTGTAACCCTTTTCTTATCTCTTTAGAAGTAATATTATACTTACCATTAAATTTCAACTAGTAACTATTTTTATTTTTTGCAAGAAAAATTCACACAGCATTTTAGAGTCAGGACTGTGTGTTTAATGTTACTTGGTGCTTGTTCTGCTTTGTTTCCTGGAGTACAAAGGAGTTGTATGTAATCTTTCATAAAAAGTATACATTTTGTTAGAACAATCCTTTGTAGCATATATATACTACAACCACTCTTGCTTACTTAAAGTAAAGAATAAAACACAAGCCCCGAACAGGGGTATTTTCTTCCTGCAGATTCATGTCGATGGTGGTTGGGAGAACAGATATCAAATGTATTTCAGTAAAGTGAGGACCATTGTGATAAATTACCTCAGCTGTGTACTCATTGCCGTTTGCTTTGCCCCATATTCTTCATTACAGTTTCACCTTGGTAACTTCTTTCCTAATTTAAAAAAAAATGGAGAAAGCCCTGAGTACAGTGCTGGGTCTGCTAAGCTGCAATCATTTGCTCAGTGAGAGAGATAAAATGCATTTTCTTTTCCTTTTAAAATAAAATGGTAGCTGGTCAGAATCAGTGACACGGTAAAAATGAACAGGGGGCCTCTGAGTATTGGACCAATCTCATCACCTATCTGTCACATTTTATTTCCTTGAGTGTGTGCTTTTTGTTTATTCTCTTCAAAAATCTTGGGATTCAGAGACTTTTCATCTCTGGGCTTAATGAGTCAAATTATATGTACACCTACCTCTCTGGCAACCTTTTGTTTGTTTTTTTCATGGACCTCTAACAAACATTAGTTCCTCCAAAAAGCAGTCAGAAGGTTTTGGTTTTTTTAAAAAATATTTTGACCCGGAAGTGATCTCCCCAGACAGAAGTAAGCAGGACTGGTAGTGGGGGGCACCATGCTGGCAGAGGTACAAATGGGCTGGCGGGGTTCCTTAAGTGCCATGAGACCTAGCAAAGTCCCTGTACTTTACCAGTCTGTGATTTGGATGATCTAGGAAGTGACAGATGCAGAGACAAATGTAGCGAACTCGTCCTGGTGGTGAGCTTTCCTGCAGTCTGGGTTTAGAGGAGAGGCATCTGAGAAGATTGTATACTAGGATTGTGGACTCCTGCTGACTGCGTGCAGGAGACCAGCATGATGCTGCACGAGAGAGATGACTGCACTTCATGCCCCCAGAGAGTGTGCCTGTCATGGCCCAGACCCACATTTGTGTTCACACCATTTGCAGGTTCTATCTTCCAGGCAGCTGAAGCTGGGTGCCTGCTGCTGCCTGTGCTTCACTTGAAGGGCCTGGAACCCCCTAGAAGGGCCTTTCCTAACTGAGCCAGCATCTCGATTTGCAAATCATCACACTGACTCCATTTTGTGACTTCTTAGTGTGGTTTCCATTGAGAATGTATGTTTTCAGACTTTTCTAAATTAGAAATACTTGATTTTATGATTAAAAGTTAGGGGAGTGGTTTCTTTAATACTCAAGGTTGCTTAATGTTTTAAGAAAGGGAGAGGAAAATAGTTACTCATGACATTTTGATGATGTCCACTCTTTTCCAGCTCTTCCTGTTTTTCTGCTTCTCCTTCCTCCCCCTCCTCTCCCCTTCCCCCTCTTTCCCCTCCTCTCCCCTCCCCTCCCTTCCCCTCCTCCTTTTTCTCTTCCTCCTCCTCCTTCTTCCAATTTTTTATGGTGGTTTATTTTTGGAATAATAACAGATTTAGGGAAAAGTTCCAAAAATTATCAGGGTTCAAAGTTTGATAAATACCTTTAGGTTTTCTACCTTATTCAATTGATTATCTCTTCTATATCTGTCTTATTTTTTCCTCTTCTTGAACTATCCTTGAACAGAGAGTGGCATATTAAAGTATCTTATTATTAATGTGCTTTATCTATGTCTCCTTGCACCTCCTGTAGTTTGTGCTTTACAGTCATTGTTGCTGTGTTATTTGGTGCACCGATATTCATAACTGTTATATTTTCATTGTGAATTGTGGCTTTGAACATTGAAATATGTCATTTTTCATCTTGTCTAATGATTTTTTGCCTTGTAAGGATTAAATACAAATAGTATCCCTCACATCTGAGTACACTTGGAAAAATGAGAACTTGTCTACTTTGATCTGATAGGAGAAATAAGCAGGCCTTGCTCTCTCTTAATACTGATTCCTTTGTCAGTTGAAAGGTAGAGAAGGGAGGTCATTTTAAAGTTAATTAAGATCTTTGAATTCAAGAAACAGGTGCAGTTTCATCCTTTTGGATCCTTGCCTCTAAATAATCTCTTGGGAGGCACATAATTCTTTAGTGTGTCAAAACCCTAAGGTGTTCAATGAATAAGTTCTGAAGCATAACTAATTAATGGGAAGATTAAAAATGTAGTCAACAAATACCTTCTTCTTTCTTTTTTTTTAACACTGAAGGATGACTTCAAGATGGTTTTCTTAATAGGACATATGAAGATAATTGCAGTTCATGTCTTTTTTCAACTTGAAGTTCTTTCAGATCTTCCACCTCCACTTCTTTTGACCTTCCCATTTTTTATGAAACACAAAGAATTCTAAATTAAGTTCATGATGCATGCATAATATTTCATATTCTTTAATATCTTCTTGCTTTTTAGTTCCTACCCTATAATTACCTAATGTGAACAGATTTATCAGTGTGGCTAAAATAGCCTGGTTACTTCCAAGTGACTCAACAAAACATACTGTACCTTTTAGAGACTATAAAAATGGCATTTCCCTATTAACAATATTTCTACTTCTAAGATATTTGTTTTGTTGTATTCACAGTTTGTCTTTGCTGTGTTTACTGATTATTAGAATCATATGATTGGAATCATACATCCTTTTTTTCCAGTGAGTGTGATAGTGCCTTTATTTATTCATTTATTTATAATTTTTAAATTGTTGTTCAATTACAATTGAACAACAATTTCCCCCCATTACTCTCCCCTTCCCTACCCATCCCCCTCCCACGTTCAATCCTCCCCTCTCTGTTGCCTTTGTCCGTGGGTCCTTTATAGTGTTCCTTGATTTGACCCTTCCTCTTCTTCCCCCATTATTCCCCTTCCCTCCACTCTTGTCACTGTCAATTTGTTCTTTATTTCCATGTCTCTGGTCCTATTTTGCTCACTTGTTTGTTTTGCTGATTATTTAAGACTATCTATATCTAAATATTTTGATTGTAACTTCAAATTCCCAAGAAAACTATGCTTGTTTATGTACATTTTGGATAGAGGGGTTAGTTGTTGCTATGGGTTTGGGAGAAGGGGGATAGTGAGGAAGGGAAATACAGAATTAAATGAACTCCATAGTGTAAAAAAGGTAATTTCTAGTGTCTAGCTTAAGATTCTGTTTTAATTAGAATCAGTCCATGTCTTATAAATATTGGTGCATTATCAAGGAAAACTTATAAATTATGGCTCTCAGAATTAAAAGGCTGCTTATTTTTATTCCAAAAGAAAAAAACCTGAGATGTGAATGAATAATATTTTGCTATTTTGAGAACCTGTGAAAATGTGACTTTTATTCTGTGCTTGAGATTTCTTCCTGCGTGCCTGCTATTAGATGTCAAGTGCTTCACACTTTAAGTACTTGAGAATTTTTCCCAAGCCCAAGATTATTTTTTTCATCTACATTTCTGTCTTTTGAGATACTGAACTATGAACCAGGTAGGTTTGCTCTATATATTATGATGATGAACTTAGTTAATTCAGACATTTTTAAAGGGC